TTGTGGACTGATAATTATAATAGGTCACTAAATTCGTACAAAAATATTACGCATAGATGCTTAAGAACGTCAAGCTATATACGAGCTTCTCTAACTATTTTTCCATTATCAGTCATAAGTCCCGACCAAAAAAATTTTACATGAATTTTCAGCACATTCTGTTTTTATTTACGCGCAAATTAGATGTAAAAGCAGGTGTTCAAAACTGCTCATGCCTCAATATTTTGCACAAAAAGCAAACAAATGTCTAGGTTGCTGGCGATGGAAATGTAAATCTCGAAAATAGGTACAATTTCCGGCGCTTGGTAGCGACGGCCGTTATGGGAATCGGAGGAATTGTCGACGAGGAGCTCAGTGTTTGGAATTACCCAGGAAACAGGACTGGGAATGAGCACTGACGGTGGGAATGCATGGAGAAAACAAGCACCGCTTGATTGGAATTGCGTTCCGGGAATGTTTGGAATCGGGTGATGGGCAGATACGGCGCTTGAAAGGCCAATCAAAAGACCACAGATATTGATTGGCGCGGCAGCCGTAGTCTAGGGAAAACTTAAGGGCTGATGAAAATGGAAGGCGCCATTAAATGCAATCTGCTGTAGGGAGGTTGTTTCAAGAGTAAGAAGAAATTAGGGAATTCAAGATCTGCAGAAGAATAAACTAGCAGCAATCGAGTGATTTTGCAGCCATGGGTCCCGAAGGAAATATTTTAGATGAATCTGCGAGCATGGATAATATGCTAAATATTGACTTCTCACGTACTACTAAGAATAACGATTTTACTCAAAAACATTTGAAATCGTTCTAGATCAAGAGAAGAACAGTGAATCACCTGCATAAGAATGACGGGCGATAATCCCGCTGTGATTTCGAACGTTCGAAATCACGTTCGAAGTCCGCCGACCGTTACCTGATTTCGTCACGCAGACAGTTTGCCACATCTTTTTACTGCAGCTAGTCACACAAGCGCTGCGAGAACGAGAAGTCATTGAGCTGCCATTGGTACATTAGCCGGCTAAGAAGAACACGCTGCACAAAGAAGTCTTCCTAAAAGATTCATCCCAATGCCTGACTTATTGTTGCTCTGAACATTCATTCTTTCGCTGCCATTCAACAAATTCAAACAAGGTTTGTAGTCTCTTCTATGTACTCTATCTCTTCCATTAATTTCATCTCTTTGTTTATTCATCTCATCACCCTAATCCGCTGCTGCTGGTCTGCATATCACTTCAATAGCTGTGCTTTGCAGGGTTCTATGCATGTATGAAAAACGCGATGCATAGCTCGCACAAAATAGGATACGTTGGAAGAGATGTCATTATGTTCAAGAGAAAAGCGCTGCGTAACTGAGGAGCCTTTGTGTATTTTTAATAGTAATTACCGTTCGGTATTTGTGAACGAACGAGTTTAAAATTGTAATATATTTAAGTGACCAACCATAGCCTGAAGTCTTTTCTATAAATTTTGTTAAGTGTACAGACGTTTTAAGCAAATTTTGCATCTGTTTTATTGAATAGATCTTTATTAAACAATATATAAAGGCAATACAACATCAACTTTATTCCATAAGGAAAATATAATTAACTAATATTCATCAAGTTTCTCATCTCATTTACAATGTAGACCCTAAATAACACAAAAAAACTTCATAGATCAATATCAGTCGTGCGGCCAACGATAAGACAGCCATGATAATAAAGAAATGCAGTCCATGTTTGAGTACTCTGGATGGCACAGAAATCTCAAAGGGGAAAAACCGGCAGATGCTCCGGTGATTTCTTTGGAAAACGCTTTCGCGTTCGACAGCTCGTATAATGCAGAAGCGACTGCAACAAGAAGAAAGTTTTCGAGTTTCGCAAGCACGAATTACAATGAGAAATGCAAACTTTTGTGAACGTAGTCCCATTGATGCGAAGGAACGAACGTTGATAGCAACATTGAAGCGCCTGCAATTCGAGAAAGAAATCAGCCATGCGGGCTACGGGTAGCGAACAAAAGAGGGTGCGATTACACCGCAAAAATGCGAGTCTCTTCTTAATGAAGCTTTGCATGAGAGGAAAAAATCCTCGTGGCCACAAAGAGATGGATGAGAACGAACGCCAAGACGTGGCTCGAGCCCAGTCCCGAAACAGACGAAGCAGCAGTCGTGTATTTGCAGAAGGCATTCCCATCACAGCAATTTACATTTACAACATACATTATACACCTCTTTTCATTTTCTAATGCAGGGCTCGATTGCGGAGAAAAAACTGCACAGCTTCATATATCGATATCGCTGCAATGTAGAAAAAATGTCAATATCGGATACCGTAAAATGGGGTAACTTAGACCACTTTTTTTTATAAATGATGCCATTTTTTTACTAGCTAAATTAAACTTGAATTGAAACATGCAAAATACATGTCTATACTCTAGCTTCACTCACCATAAATTGCTGGCGTCTGCCTCTCATAGTCTTTATGTAATTTAAAAAAAAGTGGTGGTCTTTGTTACCCCAGCTCTTGGGGTAACTTAGACCAGGTGGTAAAATCAATTATATTTTTTGGTAAAATAACTCCAAATAACTCCAAGCTCCCAAGTTGCCCAGCTCCCAAGTTGCCCAGCTCCCAAGTTGCCCAGCTCCCAAATTACCCAGCTCCCAAGTTGCCCAGCTCCCAAGTTGTCCCAACATCTCCAGAAGGCGACTGGGGCTCACACCGTGTGAGGCACGAGCTAGAATTGGAGTCAAGTGGCCTTCACAAGACAGCGAAGACTTTTCTGCAGGAGCGTGAAAAATAGAAGTGGTTTGGATAGGAGGAACGATGGTCGCGGAAGAGTTTAGTGGCTTTAGAGGGTGTCATGGTGATAGCAAGCAGCCCAAATGGGGGCAGCAGCCACACTAGAAGTGAAGGAAGTCACTAAAATAAACAACCCATAAAGAAGCCAACACAAAAATGCCAAGGAAATGCCAGAGTAGAGAATGATTTAGTGCGTCTCTTAATGTATACGACCTGGGAACGTCCGACCATTTCATGCCCAACTGAGTACTTTTCTCAACTTAGAAATTTATAGATGATTTTTATCCTCCAAGGCAACGCAAGTTCACTCGACGTCTAAAAGTCAAAGTCGCCAGCAAACCTCTGAGTTTCTCCCCACAAAGCTACTCATCTGTGATTGACAAGGAAAAGTTTCCGTTTCCGGAAAGTGCATTAGGTTCAGATAGTCTGCAATTCTTCAATGCAATAAATCGATGGCCAAGACAATCATTCATGCTGGCGAGGAAAGGAATCGGCTTTATATCTAGTCTCGCAAAATTGGGAAAGAGCGAATTATAGGAAAAGGAAAAAATAAAAGAAAAGGGTCAGAACTCAATGAAGTTGTGGGTATCCCATTAACTGTGGAACCTATGAAAGAAAACGTCCGTGAAAAAAAAATGGAATTAAATTAACGTTAAAATATCACTGGCATTTTCTGTATCTACCGGAATTGCACGGAATTGCATTATAAAAACTGTAGCTATTATAAATACAAAAATTCAAAAGAAACATTTTTATCTGCAGATTCCAGAGGACCGAGGAGAATAAAATAAAGTGGTTGTATATTATCAAAAATCCAGAACGATATTGATGACAAAACCGGTGAAATTCTAAGGAAAATCAGTATGGCAACTACATAATATTCCGAACAGATTCCCCCCGCGACTGTGGGAGACGAGAGGCTCCGGAAGAAGGGACAGACCACAACAAAAGAGGGAAGAAGGGCGTGTCTAACACAGTGAGGGAAGCCTGACCATAGCTCGCTGCCTCCTTCTCTTGCCATCGTGAGAAACAGAACTTACGATTCTATGAGGCTCTCAGATTTACCGTGAAATATATAGAACAATAAATTTATATACAGCGTTCTAGTTGGGCTAACACGAATATAAGTTGCTGAATCAGACGTAGATTGCTGAGTATAATTAAAGGCTCTCAAGAAGGTAACGCGCTGATCTCAATGATAATCTGTAAAAGATTAGCATTGAATTGTGAGGATTACCATGATCGATAGGGTATCAAATTATATTAGAAATTTATAGCAGCATTATTACTTATTACGTTCAATCTTTCTTCGCTTTAAAATGAACTAAATCAATTCTTCCTCTGATGGTTCATTATATTAGCCTTCACTCTCATTCTGCATGTATTAGTATAAGAAACAAATACTATAAATGTACATGTACTTGGTTTCGATGGCAAGGAAACGCATTATTATCTACTCTACACATATCAGCACAAAATAAGCTCGAATACTGCCTCAGATATGGGCGTTAGATGCGACCAAGTCCATTATGAAGCGTCAGAGAGAAGTAGATACGGAGGAGGCGAATCCCAGGCAATGTATACGAGCAGCAGGTGTTGCTTCTCACGCCTCGCAGCAAAATTCTGTGCAGAGAAGCGCGTCTGCAGCGCCTGCGCAACACGGATCACCGGCAACACTAGCTGAAATGCTTGCAACACTAGCTGAAATGCTTGCAACACTAGCTGAAACGCTTGCAACACTAGCTGAAATGCTTATAAAACTAGCTGAAACGCTTGCAACTCTATAGCAGCCACGCGGGTTCGCCTACAAGACGACCTGCAACACTAGCAGCAAAACGGTCTTGTCTAAAGCATAGACAACAAGGGCGTATTCCAAATGCAGTATCAGGCAGTGAAGCTTCAAAAAGGTCGTATTCATCTTTAAAATGCTAACGTAATTGCACTATAATCGTCCGCAAGCGTTGCAAATACAATCCACTTCTCCACTTCGCTGAAGTGAACATCGGAGAGCACAAGACCTATCACATTATTTAGAGATAGACTTGAGGATTAGTTGAAGGATAAATGGGTTCAGCATCCAGTAATCAAGAGAAGGTTGAAAAGTAAGAAAATTTATAGAATAAAGCAAACCCCTTATTAAAAGAAATGATTGATGAATTGAATACACAGTTGAATTTTTGTGTAGATTGCAGCAGTTTTTACACAAGTTCAAAAGTAGCAACTCACCTTGAACATCGGCTAGGAGCCACGCCAGGCTCACCGCCAGCAGCAATCGCGAACCGCTTATTCCCGACGGCATTCCGCTCACTGCTGATCTCACTTTTCTTTTAACAATACAAATTTAAATTAATTTTTCCGCAGCAAACGATTCATTAAAAATTTAACGATACTTGCTTTCCATCCAGATTGAAACGGTTGTCATTGATCAATCAGCTAGGAATTTTCGCTTTCATAAGCACAGTCTCTTCATATAGCTCCGCGAAACTCCTGTAACTAACAGGTCGCACTCACTACAGCAACAGCGTAGTTATATAACTCAAAACTAGCCTCAAGCGACACATTTTCATGGTCCTGGTGGCATCATATCCATCATTAGCGATCACGTATAGGTATTGTATTCCACTTGCACAGTACACTCTTCACCCGCAGCCGTTGTCAGATCCTTTGAGATCACAGCCAGTCATTTTGCATGGACTTTTGCCGTTCAAGTTTCGACTTCTTCACTGGACGACATGCTTCTTGTGTAATCTTGCCACTCTCGAAGTCCACTGCGTTCTGAAAAAAAAAAATAAAATTGTAATTTGAGTAATTGTAATTCTCTTCTTCACTGTAATTCACTCTTGCATGCGTTTCCTGTTATAGGCGCTTGTATCAGGAAAAACTTAAATGAAAACATCTTAAAGATTAATAGACAAATATAAAAATTAAGTACTACGCAAGTTTTCGTGAGTAGTATTGTCAGAACATTTTTATAAGAAAAGCAGCAGTAAGTACGGTTTATCTTAATGAAAATGTGCTAAGAAGCATCAGGTGCAGTTCCGAAAAACAGCATATGCAATACTGTCACCAGTACCAGCAGTAATTGGACGAGAGCGGTCAAACGTTTATTGCTGAAACAGCAGTGCGTATAATAAACAGCAGTACGCGCAGTATTCTAATTCCAATACGTACAGTATTACAACAGCCCGTGGAGAACGGAAGCCGTTGGAAGGAATATATATAGTATAGCAGCAGCATGAGTAGGGGGTTAGGAATATGAGTGTTGTATATACTATAACAACCGTACTATTTGAGAGCAGCACTATTGCCCTTGCAAATAGCAGCAGGACAGCAGTACGTACAATTAACAGCAGTGCATCAAGACGCACAATAACAGCAATGCTGCAGCACGTACAATTAATAACAGCAATGCTGCAGCACGTACAATTAATAACAGCAATGCTGCAGCACGCCCAGCAACAGAAGCAGCGCTCAGCAGATTGGAGCATTGGGTCGCCGCAACATCTCGTATTAAAATTGCTCTAGTTGAGCGTATGCGCGCTGCCATAAATTGCGGTGAGGCGGCGAGCATACGGCGTCACCGCCTTCACAGCTCCGGCCAGCGAGCCGGCTAGGGTGGAGTGATGCGCCTGTGCCGTGGTGAACATTAGAAGACCTAGAATGGAGAATATTATGTTCAAATTATGAGGCCTAGAGTGGGGAATATTATGTTCACATGGAGGGTATCAGGAGGCAAAAGATGATGAATATATAATGATTAGATGGAGAATATCATGAGTACTAGTATGGAGAACTAGTATGTGTTTAGATGGATAATATCGTAAGGTATAGAATGAAGAATATCATGAGGCTAGAACATATCTTTCGGTAAATAGCGTAAGGTTTTTTGTAGACGGCATACAGGAAACAAATGAGTGAAATGACTACAGTACAGATTTAGTAACTTGATGTCACTAAACAACAGCGCTTGCAGAAAAATTCCGAAAATTTAAGGCAAGTTGCAAACAAATAATGAATGAGAAAACTTATACTATAAATGCAATAAAAGGCATGAAAATTGTGGATACGACGGCATTGCAACAAAAACATTTGCAGCAAAGTAGTATACCGTATTGTCTATATTACGAGTCGTGAAATAAAGCAAATTTGTAATAGTAAAAATTACTGGAAACGCCAAGAATTCAAACGATGCAAGTTAAAAAAATTGAAACAATGCAGCAGAAATGCAGCAGTCAGTAAACACGACAGTAGAACTGCAGCAGTCAGTGAACTAGGCAGCAGAACTGCAGCAGTCAGTGAACAACACAACAGAACTGCAGCAGTCAGTGAACAAGACAGCAGAACTGCAGCAGTCAGTGAACAACACAACAGAACTGCAGCAGTCAGTGAACAAGACAGCAGAACAGCAGCAGTCAGTGAACAGAAAAATGTGCTGACTCTGACCGACGGCTGAACGCCTGCATGTGTGCTTGGTCACGCGCGTCTCCTGCTGTGGAAACCTGCGCACTGCAAACACGTTGTCCACTCCAAAGTTTGCACAGAATTTTATGCGACAAGCAATTACTTCAAGCAGATATATGGCATCCATCAAACACAAGGGGACGCTTTCGGCTCACCAGCTTTATTTGGCTGGAAATTCTAAAAAATCAAGCTTTATTTGGCTGGCAATTCTTGAAAATTCAATATTTATTTGGCTGGCAATTCTTGAAAATTCAAGCTTTATTAGCGAGGCTGACGTATTTTACGCAAAAAAATTGGGAGAGAAATTAGAAAAAAATCCATTAGTAGGGGGAGGGAGACGACGGAAAAAAAGAATCAACAATTTTAAGTACAATAAGCAAAAAAGAAACTTCTAAAATTCAACGACAAACATGAATATAAATTGATGCTTAAGTTGTGTGATTAATCATTATTCTAATTATGCAAATAAACTAAAATCTTCAGAATTCATCCGACAGATATTGACGATTTGAAACGAAAATACAAAAATCCAATTAAATTAACTAATACCGCATTTTTTTCCGGAACGTGATTATACGCCGGCCCAGCGAATTTGAACGGCTATCAAACACACGAGAAGTTTTTAAACAAACTCAGGCAGCGGCATAAATGTTCGACAGGATCATGTTTAATAAACATTGTTCTCTCGTAACAGTTTGACAAACAGGTTTCGCCAGCAGAAATTCCCAAGAACCATAACAATTACGTGAATTAATAAACAATTCAATCGAATTTGAACGTTGGTTATCAATCTCTTAGCTAACTTACATACTATTTTCCGTTTCGCATAAGCTCACATTAAAATATTACAAACGTAGGTACAATATAAATAAGTTAGTATAACTGTGTAAGATTCATAAAATGTTGCTTCGGAAACACAAGGAAGGTTTTAAGAGCATTTAGTGTTACGTAAAAAAAACTTTAAAGTAGGGATATTTGACTCGTTGGTGCGCTAGGTGGCATGTAGGTAGACCGTAACCTAGGCCTTCCGTCAAATTATTAGAGGCCCTCGGTAATGTAGCCAGGCCGACCTCTCAGATTTATGGCCACTACATTAACGACACTAAAAACTCCCCCGAAAAATTAATCAGTGGCGAGGCGAGGAGCCAAAAAAAATCTGGCCAAAACTTATTTGAAAACGTACGGAGGGAGTAATACGTCCTTTTCGGCAGATGTGCTACAAATACACTATTGTCGGTAAAACGATATATTTTCGATAGGGCGATTCATTCTCGAGAATTGATGAAAATTGAAATTTAAGCGCGAAATACAGTGAACAACTGAGCATGGTAAGGCAGCTGAAGATATCGTTCACAATATAGCATTTAAAATGGATACAAGAAATGCATTTCTTAGTGGAAATTCGAGAGATCTGCCCTTACCAAATCGCGCCTCATACTTTTTGTTATTTTTATTTTTTTTTTAACTTGAGGGCGTGGTTTTGAAAAAGGAATCCTAAGAACCAGCAACAATAACAAAATAAACTTGAATGAAAAATAATCCAAGTACACGTAGCGGCCGATTTCTCGTCCGTGATTGGTGAATTTAGCTTTATAAACCGTCAGCCTTCAACCTCCAACCTCATTCTTTAAAAAAATACGACGGAAATTAAAGTTAGCCATTTAATGATCAACACTAATCGGCGCACGATAGTTACTAGGGCATGCCAGTTAGGAAAGCAGCTGTGCCACTAAGTTGAGGTAAAAATTCACAGCGAAGTTCTCACGGGAGTCTCGAGGAGGCAGTCGGTAATAGCCTGAAGTAGACAATAACCCTCGCCCTCATGGGCAATATCGGGCAGACGGCAACGGCTACTGAACGTCACTCTTACTACTTCAATCGCATTGAAAATTGTTCGGATGCGTTGCTAAATTTTAGTATGAGTAGCTTCATTTAAACGGAAATAATTAAATGATATTCATAATTGTCTTCGTTGAAACGTTAATAGGAAATTATATACATGATTAGAAGACAGGTTTAAGCCGTTCTCACGAACGTCATTCAAAACTTTCGGGGTAAGTGAGAAGAATGAACAATTATTCATCATGGGCAACACAGATATAATAACGGAATTAGCCATGAGAAGACCGAATAATTTATTTGGCAGACTAGGTTTTGTGAAAGCAAATACATGTATTTTCCGCTTAAGTCACACACTGAACGAATTATGTCTAAAAACTTAAAAGCAAAGAAAACTCCACAAGAATGCATACTATCTTTAAAGAAAACGTCTTGAATGTCTTGAATTATGTCTTGAATTACTCACCCCATTTCTTGTGTCACCACCCCGCTAATTTCAGATTGAAATGAGAGAACGTTTAATCAAAAGAATGTTTTAGCATCGATTTAATCAAAGGACGCTTATTCAAAAGTATGATTTACTTAGATTTAATTAATGGACGCGTTTTCAAAAGAATGGTTGCGCTTCCATTTAAATCAAAGAACGCTGAATAAGAAAAATGTCTATGCCTGGATTTAAATTATAGAAAGTTTCGTCCGAAAAATGGTTTCGCTTAGCTTTAAGTTATATGATGCTTAGAAGAATATAGGTATATAGTTTCGTATGGTTTCGCTGAGATTTTAAATGGAGAACGCTTTATCAGAAGGCTTGCTCCGCTTAAAAATTTTCTATTGTAACATGATATGCATTTATCTTATAGAGCCCTGGGCATTGCGAAACTGGAGATAGCCTGGAAATTTTCCTACAAGGAAACTGCCAACTCCATAAATAAAGCAAGAAAAAAGTAAGAGATAAGGCGGCATGACTAGACTTAACCTTGCCATTCAGCTCTAGACAAACAAAATTAAAACTGACTACATAACGAATGGTAAATTGTGCGGATACAGTAGTATCATTAATTTTTTTCCACTGATTAACTCTCGTTAGACAACCATAAATTATAAGCTACCCGTTGCATAGACAACGGGTAGCTTATCCGTAGACTTTAGAGTTGAACGTCTCTGGAAGCAAAACGCCCAGGGGTCGAGTATGGAGAAATATGATAGGATTTAAGAGAACATTAACGTTGACTGCGTTGGTTAAATGGAATCCATCAGCGATCTAAATAAAAAGAAAAGCGAGCTTAAATACAGAATACAAAGGACGACTCAGAAGCGTTTTAACTATTGGTAGCAGTTCTAAAACAAGACGATATAGGTAATCCGAAAGTCTTGGTATTTGATGACCATTTCAGGTTCGAACAAATTCATTCAGGTTCATTCATGTGTTAAAGCAAATACTTTAGTCATAGTTCGCCAAAATGCATAACGGTCCATTCTTTACGTCAGAATTGATGGTAGCAAGAGGATGATCCTACCGTATAATGATAGTAGTCCACGTAATGCACGTTTGGAACAGATTTCCATACAATAGTCAACGAATCATTTCTTTCAAGTCAGGAGGCTAACTAAAGCTGCATCTGATGAAACAATGCGTGAGAAACAGAATAGGCTGTTACAGTTATTTAGATCTGGCAAAAGTTTCAGCTAACTACGAAACCTTCAAGCACGATTGTGCATACGCTCCATTTATCCATTTTTTATTCACTCAAATCGGAAGTGATAACTTGAAAGGACTCACTAGAACTGCTTGCTTGCGATATTTTTTTCAATTCATCAATACCATTTTCAAATGTTAAAATAATCAAAATTTTAGCTTAGTGAGCAAACTAGTGCAAAATAGTAGCAAGAATTACTAGCTAACTAATAGGTAACTTGGTCTCGACTATCTTCCCACCAATCCAATTTTGCTTGAAAAAAAAAAAAAAACTAAATGCTGAACGAACGGCTCCGTAGTATCGCTTGGAATATATAATACAAGGGTCTCGATATTACGGTTGACGCTTTCACACAAAATCGAAAAATGAATTGGAAATTAGATATTCGCATTTTCATTTGGACATCCATGTACTTGGGAACTAAAGCCTACTAGCGTGTTGAGGTTGGCTCATACACGACCCGAACTACTTTCTTCACTGTAAACGAAACGACATCAATAAAAATAAAGACACGCATCTGCTGCTCACATCAACAAGCCACGAAATATTCGCGGTAAGTGCAACACAGAAATAGCGAAATCTAGTGATGGTCCACACGAATGCTTAGCAGCTCAGGTGAATCTCAATGAAGCTGTTCGTTCACACCTACCTCTGAGTTATGCAGTGCAGCATCAATGAAGACACAATATGTGTACGAATACCACGATTTATCCCGCCCCAAGATGTATATGCATCAGGAACATCAATCGTATGTAAGCTGCCAATTTAAAATTAATTATTTCACGTCACAAAACAAGCTATAATGACAGGGATCGACGTCGAGTCGGCAAACACAGAAGTTCAGGAGCAACCGACCCCACACCCACACTCGGTAACTTCACAATTGCTACTGAGGACGAAGACGGCACCAGTGTTGCCAGGTTTTTTCTTGGCGAGAATACCAGATTGCCTAGCTCAAAATACCAGAAATATACCAGAAATTCTATCGTTCAAAAACAGACTAATACCTCCAAATTTAATAAAACTATTCGTCAGAAACGTTGGTTAGAAAAAAAATTATCTTATGTACTGTGCAGTTATCTGGCTTGACGATAATTCGCCAAATTGAACACGTTATATTTTTCCCCTCTGTTTGGAACATTTCGACACTTCTTTTCCTGTGTTTGATTACATTGACACTTTTTCCTTTTTTTTATCAGTGTCATTGTGGCACTTTTTCTTCTTTGCTCAACATGAGCAAGCCACGGAAACAGGTCATCTTCATTTTGCTTATTTTCGTACATGCTTGCATATTGCATTAATCTAACATTTCGGGTGTGATCACTTGTTGCGGTTGAGCAGATAGCTTATGGTCCGAATATGGGACTCCAGTACCGTAGTTTAAATTTTATTCCGTTGCTTGTTTTTCACATAGGTGACTTGTGAAAACACTTGCACCACGAATGCTTTGGAGACAGGTCAAAGTAGACAAGTGATGCAGTAGGCAGCCAGTTCCCTGAATGGATGATAATTGTCAAGATCAGTGAAATATTGAATGGCACCCCAGAATTCAAGTGGCACTCCAATAAGTGGCACTCTAGAATTCAAAACCACCGAACAAAAATAGTGGAGCTTGCGTCGCAGAAATCGGTTCGACAACCTCACTCGTCCTAGGCCATATCATCAGTTAATCACTGATCAGTAATCAATCGAGGATCATCACTCTCATGCTCATATTGCTTGCACTAAGCACTTTTGTTAAATGTTAACAATTAAATTGGGGTTATTTTATCAAGCGGTAAACTTGCGATTCCAAAAATGGCGGGAAACCTCTAGTCGCGCCACTCTGATGGTAATCTATATAATCTACGCCTACGTTGGAGGAAATTCAAACTTCAGAGGTGGAACTTAATGCAGTAAATTTGCAGTAAGTCAGAAAATACCAGAAAAATACCAGATTTAGGCAAATATACCAGATCTAAAATGTTCATACCAGGCACCTTCTGAAAATACCAGATTTGTGAAATCTGGTATAGAAATATACCATCTGGCAACGCTGGACGGCACGGCACTAGCCGCCCTATGGACCCCGAAACACCGATGCTGCTGTGAACGTCAACTGCTGACATGCCTTCCTTCCTTCATACAAAATCAAACATCGACATAACAAAGCATTTGTAAAAGCAATTATTGACGTCAAAAATTTAAAAAAAGACTAATTATAGACATAATTTTTTCAATACGCTAAGTTCGGCCTTAATATGGATAGAATTTACTGAAGTTCCGGAGGTTATAAAATATCATATAATCAGTTAATCACACAATTAAGACTGAAATTTATCTGATGTGGAACGAATATTACCGTAGATCACGATCACATTTATAACTATGACTATCATATTGTGATTAAATATAAATTACGCCATTTTAAATTCGAATTTTGGTGTACAATCTCATACTGCATGTAATATTGGTAAATACGATACATCCTCCGACGGTGTTAGCGTTCAATAACTGAACCAAGTCCAAGAACGTGATCAAGCTTTTTAAATAATATCATAGAAATATGTCCCTTCTCTTATTTTAGTTTGTTTCTATCACGCACACCAACCCATCGCAAAACCGATTGTAACAACACATATCAATCATGAAATGAATTGAACAACAGCAACTATAGCTATTTATTTTAGGATGATGTTTCTATCCGAACAGTAAAAAACCGCTCAAGTATTCAACACGAAAGGAGCACAGGACGACTTTATTCAGCTTTCGACTGCTTCGGATGATACTTCATGTATAGTTTCTAGACCAATCAAGCGAAGCATTCATTGTTTTACTGAAGCACTAGCAAGTTCATAGGAATAGGATGTGGTGTTAATCCTGCAGCACTTGCGCCGGCATGCGGCACGTTCTAGGATTAGTAGGTGGCTGTAATCCTGCAGCACTCGTGCCGGCATAAGACACGTTCTAGGATTAGTAGGTGGCTGTAATCCTGCAGCACTCGTTCCGGCATAAGACACGTTCTAGGATTAGTAGTTAGCATTAATCATGCAGTAACATTACCGGTGCGCTGGTAGGTTCTATAGATGGCGCACCAGAAGTTTTTAGGTGGTGACGTTAATCCTGCATCGCTGGTTGCACTGTCAGGTTCTATCTTTCAGGAGAATGACACTAAACCAATGCTACTTGCAACTAAATTTCGTCGAAACAAATTTTCATTACCTTCATTGATCGTCATAAGACTGGTGGATAAATGGTAGATTAATCCTACAGCACTCAAGCGAGCGTTCGTCCCCTGACTACCCAGTGAAAATTTACAGACGCGGCAGCTTCTGATTTGGACTACCAGAAGCTGGGGTGACTCTAAATTTTGTTAGGGTAGCAACACTTGCCTGTTGGGTCTGCTTACGCAACGAGAATTGCGTTATGGTGAAATCGCAGTTCTGGGCTCAAACTGCGCTTGCCAATTATAGGCTTAAGATTTACGATCATCGGTGAACGTGTGATTACCGTATGAATTGGGTCGGGAATATAGCTTCATAGCACGATCGTTAATAATGTTTCCATGCTTAATTGGCTTCAGAAGTGTGTTTAATAATTAATAGGCTTCAAGTGTGTACGTAACTCATGTGTGATACTTCAATTGTGTAGCAATGTGGAGCTTAAAAGTACGAGAATAATATTGTATGATCCTCCACCGAAGCTGAAAATTTTTTCATCAAACTAAAAATGTATTGCTCAGCTGATACGAGGAAATGGATGCGTTGTATTTCCACGTGAGTTCTCGGTATTATTGTTTGTATGTTTGTGCGAAATGTAAAGACATTCTGCATGCCTTGTAAGCTACTCACGATATTCTCAAATGCAGAATCAGCGTATTTTTATTTATTTTTGAACATAAAAATTTGAGTTATTACTATCCATGAATTTTGTTTCACTTCACTGTAGCCTGAATCAAGATGCCTTGTGAACGGATAACTTGAATTGACTCATTATAACTACTGAGTTGCGATATTTTAAAATTCATTTATATCACATATGTATTATTTTGTCTTATAAAATTACGCTTTTGAACTTGAACCATGAATTTTTTCATTTATGGGATTATAAGATTGTTTATAGCGCTGTGTATTGCTTTATCTTATAAAATGTCGTTTTTGAACTTGAACCAAACATGAACTCTTTTCATTTATAGGATTGTTTATAGCGATGTGTTGTGTATTACTTTATCTTATAAAATGTCGTTTTTGAACTTGAACCAACCATGAACTTTTTTCATTTATAGGATTGTTTATAGCGATGTGTATCGTTTTATCTTATAAAATTACGCTTTTGAACTTGAACCAAGCATGAACTTGTTTCATTTTATAGGAACCCTGGATCGAGATACCAATGCCCGCGGTCAGCGTTGTTGACGGCATAAGTACATCGAATTTACGATGTAGCCAGGAACTCGAGTCGATGTGTACAGGAGCGTTGAGCACATGACGCCCAAGTGCCGGGGCTAACACCAGTAAATCATTTCTGAACAACGCCAATAAATGGCATGCTTAGTCGTACAGAGAAAAAATTGCATCGGCTTGAGAAAAGTAGGAACAAGAATAGCTCCAAAATATGTGCATGAGTGTTCTTATAAATTGTCGGAAAATAGAGTTGTAAAATGCATACATTTATACGAATAACAATTTATACTATAAATTCATTGAATTTTCGTTAAAAAATTTAAAATTAATGAGGCACAAGCAAGCAAATGAGATGAACTTCCTTTTAGGGAAAATCGTTTTTTTTTTCTCCTCTGAACATTTTTGACTTGGAATTCGCAACTCTCGCACGATTTCTACACAACAAAAATCACACAACTAAATATATCTTTATTTTATTTCACAAACCAGACCTGGAATTGTTTCTCCACACTTGGTCGGTGTTATATTTCAGCAGGCAAGTGCTTCTTAATTGGATGAAAAGTCTTGCCCCGAGGCCGTTGTGCCAGGAATTGTAGGATCGAACTGCATTTTGTTTATAAAGCATTTGCATTTTGTTTTGCTGGAGTGGCTACAGGTTTTTGTAAATGTCGGCTGATCGTTCATAGTTTGAAACTTGTGACGTACTATGCAGCAAGCTGGGTATCCAAAAACACGCTGAAAATATGTTTGAATTCTAATGAGAAGTTTTCCTTACGGTATTATGGTATTTTATATTATATTTTTGCATTACAGTATGATATTATTAAAATTGTTAGCTACGGCAAATTTGTTCACAGAAAACGCAGTTTCTATACACCAAGAATACATTTACTGACAGAGAAATTGATAAATCTTGATTAATCAGTATTCTTGGTTGTTGGGTTAAGATTCTATGAAGTTTTAAGTATTCATGAACTTCTAATTACTGGTAAAGACATTTCTTAACTAAAATCAATGACTACAAACAAATGCACGCAATATTGAAATAGTTTTATAAGGAAAAGGTCTACGATGTAGTGAAAGTTTTTTTCTTATTCAAGGAGCCAGGTTCCCCGAACTTTATACTCATGAAGTTTCCAAGTATTGATGAATAATAATTAATGATAACGACGTTTCTTGATGAAATTCATGGACTACATAAACATTCACGCAGGATATGAAATATTTTAATATGTAAAAGATCTAAGATGTACCAAAAGACTTATTCTTATATAATAGAAGGTTCTCAGAACTTTATATGTAGCGTTGACACGCGTTCACAGACCATCGATCTGGGACGTCGCGCGAACCTGGGGCTTCCACGTGAACGCAGTGGCCGCCTGAGATGACAATGTGATGCATTGAGATGCGTTATAAGATTGTGGCAGTAGGCCTAAAAGAACTGGAGGTGCCGGGGATCGAACCCGGGGCTTTTCGCATGCAAAGCGAACACTCTACCACTGAGTTACACCCCCGATGGC